GAGGAAGAGAAAGGCAATATTTATTAGCGCTTACTACCTACCACTTACTATTATAAATATTCTGTATTAATTCATTTAACCAGAAAACCCAAGACATTTGTTAAAAATACAGATTCCTGGGCCCCATCCCAGAACTACTAAATCAGCATTTCTTGGGGTGGGGCCCAGAAATCTATTTTTAATAGGTGCCTCTTGCATTTCTGAGGGTAAGTCAGCTTTAGGATAACTGGCCTAGCAGTACAGAGAAAAAGAAAGTTCAAATGATATCATGTGCAGTTCTCATTTTGAAGTTCAATGTTGCCTAATATTTATTATTCCATGATATGTACATTTGAGAATAATCTAAGTGTAGGCAGGGCCAATGATATTAGTTTCTCAGTTTATAAAATGGACAAACATTCTGCTAAATTGCAGAATTTAGAAGGCTTCACAGCAGTGTCTTTTTCTGATATCTAAATATGACATCATCAAAGAAATAAACTGTTTCAGGTAAAAGAGGCAGCTTGGTCTTATTAACAAATATGAGTAAGTTTATTAAACTTTCAAGTACTTCAAAGTTAGAGTTTGAGAACAAAGTATATTATAACAAAGTATATCTTTCTGAATATTTACAAAATTTTAGAAACTACCAGTGTAATTTTAGAATTCAAAAGTTAATCTCTTGTAATACTTTAAGAAATAAAACAAAATTTTAAAAAAAGAGCTATTTGCAGAAATGGATATTAAATCTTAATAAATACTTTTGTAGAATTAATTAATATAATGACTAAATGAAGCACATATAATATCATGATATTTATCTAACCTCACATTCCTGAGAGAAACCTTACAAAGTCATAAATTATGAGATTCTTTTAATATAGTTAGATTACATTTGGTAGGGCTTTTTAGACATTTTTAAATGTAACTATTTATAAGTGAGGCAGATTCTCTTTTTGTGTGCGCCATTTTTGTCACTTTGGGCATTTAAGCTCTCTCTTTGTAAAAGAAATTAGGATTAGATGCCATTTGAAATAAGAAGAATGTACCAGTAAGATTATCTGGTACCCAACATTTTTTGAGAAGTATTTCTTAAGTTATTTCCTAGATTTCTTCTTTAACTGTAATTCATTCTACTTCCTCTTGTATTAATTTCATAAATTTATACTTCATAAAATTATATCCTTTGATTTTAAAATACCCAGTTCTTCTTTAAAATTTTATGTGTTTGATAAAACTATTGCTAGCATTTTCCCTTATTGTTCCTATTTAATTGCAATGCAATCGCCTAGGTTGTTTATAACATTTTAATGCACTTTTATTAATTATATCTCTTGTAAAGAACAGATCAAATTAACTCCAAAAAATTTCTTACTCTTTGATAGGGAAGTTTAAATTGCTTATATTTACTGATCTGACTTCTCCATCTTTGTTTTATGCTTTAAATAAAGTTAAATGTTTGACTAATAAAAAAAAAGTTAATCTCATACTTTTCAAAACCAAATCCAAATTTTGTACAACAATAAAGCCAATTTCAACCAGAAAAGCCTCCCCTTCACTCACTATTCTAAACTTTCATTACACAAACCAGAATGAACTACCATCATCCATTATTTCACCTTGTGAATCAGCTGCATAGCCATTACATTACATCTACACCTCATGAGAAATGCAAAGCATCACAAAGCATCCTGTCAGGTCCGGTCTTGGAATGAATGTTCTACAGCCTCTCAGTTTCTTCCTTTCCCCTGCTGGACTATGTATTATTTATGAAGCTTTCATCTGAGAATAGGGAACATGCTTTAATAGATGTAGCTGAATGTGAGACCAGCATTAAAGATACCAGCCAGTGTTATATAGAAAACATTATCCTAATTACAAAAGTACACTTTTGTGATAACAATGAATAAATGTCCTACTAAAATAATAATCAAAAGGAAGTGGTCCTTAGCATCCCCTGAATGCTCTGCAGCCTTACTCTTCAGAGTGGGATGCCCCACACCAGCAGCACTGGCATCACCTTGGAGCTTGGTAGAAAGGCAGAACTTGGGCCCCATTCCAGACCTACCGAATTAGAATCTGCAGCGTTAACAAGATCCCACAGGGCCTTCATATGAGAAGCGCCGCTGTATAATTTTCATAAATAATTTGGGTCCACCCAGTCAGCATGCTTGGTTGGTGAGCATCGACCTAGGAACCAGGAGGTCACATTTCAATTCCCGGTCAGGGTACATGCATAATCTAAGTTGTGGGCTCAATCCCCGGTGTGGGGTGGGCAGCAGGTGGCCAATCAATGATTCTCTCTCATCATTGATGTTTCTATCTCTCTCCTTCCCCCGTCCTCTCTGAAGTCAATACAAAATATATTTAAAAAATAATAATGTGGGTCCTCTGAGTTCAATTTCAATGCTGGACTAATGACCTGTAGGACCTTGGGAAATCCATCACCTATATAATGAACTTCCTGTGGCGATGGGAAAGTTCTGTACCTGGGCTGTCCAACACAGTAGTTACTGGTTACATGAGAACTTGAAATGTTGCTATTGAAACTGAGGAACTTAATCTTTAATTTTAATCACTTTTAACTATTATTTTTAAATAGCATCATGTGGCTATCTGACAGCGCCGATCTAGAGACTTCTGATAATATAAAATCTCTTTCTGCTCTAAAATCTTACAATTCTAGATCCAGAAAAAATGATTTTTACAGAATAAAGTCAGGACTGTATTTAAAAGAAAGATCTGTTGAAGACCTACTGTGTGTCAAACACTCATGCTTCATCAGTGAACAAAACAAACCAAAATTCTTATTCTCACGGTTTACAATCTCACAGGGAGAGAAAGTCAATAAAAATAAATACCGCAAATAAAAGATAACATTATTGGAAGATAAGAGGCTATGGGAAAACAGAGCAGATTAAGAAAGGATGTAGAATGCTGGTTCAGGGATTAGGGTTGGTAGCATTAATACATGGGGTGCTAAGAGGAGGGCACCAGGAAAAGCTGACATTTGAGCAAGGACTGGGAGCACGTAGGAGTGAGCCTTGTAAATATTAGGAGGAAGAGTGCACCAGAGAGAATAAATGATTTCTGCAAAAGTCATCATGTGAGTAAGGACCCGATGTGAATGAGGAACAACAAAAAGTCCCAGGAAGCTGTATGTGAGTGAGCCATGGCAGGAGAAATGGGAGACAGAGTCAGACAGGTCAGAAAGAGCAAAGGCTCATGGTCATGTGGGGCCTTCAGGACACTCTGACTCTTGACCTTTATCCTGAGGATCCATTGTAAAGGAGAAATATGTCAGATCTCACATTTTTAAATGATTCCTCTGGCTTCACTTGAGATCATTCTACAGAAGTACCAGGGGCAGAAGCAGGGGGGATAGTTAGGATCTTACTACTGGACCTCTGGTCAGAAATGATAGTGGCTGGTTCATAGTGGCAGCAGAGGAAATGGTGAGAAGTAGCTGGAGTCTATATATATTTCAAAGGTAGAGCTAAAAATAGTGTATGAAATATAGAAAGATAGTGTGAGAGAAAGAGAAGAGTCAACGTTGATGTCAAGGTCTTCATCTATGTAATTGAAAACACAGAATGAACATAACTGAGATGGAGTGTAGAGCAGGTATAGAGGGTACTATAAAGAGCTGAATTCTTCACATGTTAAGTTTGAGACACCTATTACACAACCAAATGGAGTTGTATCACACAAAAGGATACCCAATCTGGAGTTCAATGGAACAGCCTAAGCTGGAGATAAAAATTAGAGAATCAATGACATATAGAGAATATCTGCAGAAATTGTCTAAGATGACAAAAGTAGTGAGCATAAATAGAGAAGACCAAGATTGCTGGGAGTTCAAACAAGTGAAGAAGTAATTCATAAGGAGAAAAATAAACAAGGAATCATAAAAGAAATATCCAGTGTGAAAGGAAAAAATCATGAGTCTATGATGTTTTTAAGCAAAGTGAAGAAAATGTTTCAAAATGGAGGGAGTGACTGTGTCAAATACTGTTGAGAAATCAGTCATGTTATAGCAAAAAAATGACCATCAGATTAAACAATGTGAAGGTCATCATGACCTTGACAAGAGCAGTTTCAGTGCAGAGGTAGAAGCAAAGCTTGACTGAAGTATGTTCAAAAGACAATAGAAAGAAGAAAAATGTGATAGGGAGTATAGACAACTTTTGCAAAAATTTGGACTGTAAGGTGAGCAGAGAAAAGTAATACTAGCTGCAAGGGAAAATGAGACCACAGCGTTTTAATTTGTCTTTATTTTGTGGCTTTTTTAAAAAGAAAAGAGCAATTTCAGTCAGTTCATGTGCTAATGAGAATGAGTCAATAAAAGAAAAAAAATCAATAATATAGGGCACAGTTCAGCAAACTATTTGGCCTGTTAACTGTTTTGTACAGCCCATAAGCTAAGTGTGATTTCTACTCTTAGAAATGGTTAAAAAGAAAAATCAAAAGAATAATGTTTCATGACATATGAAGCAAATTATATCTAATTCAAATTTCAGTGTCCACAAATAAACCTTTATTGGCACATGGCCAGGCTCATCACTGATGCATTGTCTGTGGCTGCTTAATCTCAACAATGGCAGAGTTGAATTCCTGTGATGAGATGATAGGTGACATTTTATTAATTCCTAGTGCTGCACAGTGCTCTATGAATTACAATAATCTCTATATATAAAAGCCTAAGCGACCATCCGACCATTCAACCATCGGACCGGTAGCTATGACATGCACTGACCACCAGGGGGCAGACACTCAATGCAGGAGCTGCTGAGCTGTGGTAACTTGGCAGCTGCGGTGCTCAGGTGATGCACCCAGAACCAGAGAGGAGGGAGCCCGATTCCGGGGTGCGTCACCCGAGAACCGCCCTCTCGCAATCCGGGACCCCTCGGGTGATGTTGGAGAGCCAGTTTCAGCCCGATCCCTGCAGGCCATGCAGAGGGACCCCACCACACTGGGCCTCTGGTAGAGTTATAATAGGACAGCATTTCAAGTGCCATGCATAAAGTTATTTTTTTATTACCAATGCAGTCAAAAGGAAATAAAATGGACATCAAATGCCATGCTTTGAAAGCACAGTGGAGTGTGGATTACTTTATTATTCAAGTAGATAGTAAAGGATTTTGTTTGTTAGGTAGTAACACCATAGCTACATTAAAAAAATATAGTAAGTGTCAACATCACCAGCCTAAGCACTCATCAAAATATGCCTTTCATAGAAAAATAATGGTCAGAAAAATTAGAAAATTTAACAAAGAATATCTACCACAGCAGAATTTCTTCCCTAAATGTAAAAACGAAAATGAAGCTGCAACAAAAAGTTTTTAAATGTCATAAATTTTAGACAAGCACCAAAAAAGTTGTTTACCAAGTGTAGGTTAATTAAATTATGTTATATTGCATCTGTCAAAGATGTTTCTAAAGAAAAAAACTTGTTTAAGACTATTTGCCTTTTGGTGAGAACACTCCTTACAAAGAGTTGCGGAAATTGGGAGCAATGTCAGTAGTCAATTTAAATATGAGGCAAATGATTTCAAGTCACTTTGCTTGGCTTTATCTACATTCATAGATGTATAGACACTGCTTTATTATTGTTGTTGTTTGAGGAGTCAATGCTGAGTCTGAAATGACAGCAAAATTAGTCTTTATGAACAGTCTGCAGGGAATAACCACAGGCAAGGGTATTTTTTAAGAAGTTGAGAAAACACAAATTCAGTACAACCTGAAGTGGAATCTGCTAAGATGTGTTTTAACAAATTGTGGTAAAAATATCTGGAGAATAGAAAAAGGCTTAGTTTGACAAATTTGTCAAAGCTAGTGAAAATTTAAAGTATTTAAAGGCTATGATTACTCACTGCATTATTCATCAGCAGGTACTTAGTGATACTCAAATCTATCATGTTATTGAACCAGTAGTGTCAACAGTGACATTCACTTGCTTTCACAGCTGTAACTAGCTCTGTGAATTTTGAGAGGAATAGAAGCTGAATATCCTGACTTGCATGAACTGACCACACAGCAGTTTGAAGGGCTAGCAGTGGTAACATTTAACTGCAATTTTTTGAGCTCAGGGTCAGCTTGAAAATTTTTTTTGAATGATAAGAACCACCTTCAATCATCTTCAGAAACTAGCTTTTGTTAAAAACGTTATACTGTTTATTAATGAAATCAACCTAAAACCACAGGAACTACAGAACTTATATGCAAAAGTTGTGCTTTAATAAAATCATTTTGACTACTAACATTTGAATCACAGTAATGTCAAGCTGCTTTCTATACGTCCTGTTTTGTGAAAAATTAAAATGAGAAGCAAGATCTCCACTCCCATGCAAATTTGCTGCAGAAATATTTTCTGAGCTCAATCTACAATTCCAACAGCATTTTGTAGGCCCTCATGCAGGTTCAGTAGCAAGTTCATATTTCAAAATCTATTTAATCTCAAAAGACCACATATGATATAATTCCATTTATTTGAAATGTCCAGAAGAAGCAAATCTATACAGATAAAAAGTAGATTAGTGGTTTCTTAGATCTGGTGAGCAGGGTGAGAGGAGGAGGCAGGGAGTGCCTGACTGCTAATGGGTATGGGGTTTCTTTAAGAGAAAATTAAAATATTCTAAAATGAGATAATGATAATGGCTTCTCAACCCTGTGAATAAATAACATTTAATTGTACAGTTTAAATAGGTGAACTTACATGTGAAATACATTTCAAGAAGATGTTTTTAAAAATCCATTTAATTGTGCAATTGAGGAACTTCCACCTAACCTTCAATTGGAAGTAATGAATTTACAATGTAATGACATTCTAAAAAGCAAATACCAAGGGAACAATCTAATGAATCCTATAAAGAAATACCAAAAGATAAATGTAAGTGCATGCTAGTGGGTTGATATCAGTGTTTGACAATGCCTATCTGTATGAAAAAAACATTTTAAAGATGAAATATGTAAAATCTCAATACAGATCAGCACTGACTGATGAATATTTTCAATTAACATTGATAATAGGAAACAATAACACTGAACCCAATTAAGCAAAATATTATCACAAAAATATAGATATTTCTTATTAGATCTGTATTACAAATAAAAAATACTGTACTACTACTTTATTTTCAAGTTTGTCAATAAATCTATAGAAATTTGTTTTTTCTCTTTTAAGTTCCTATATAATACTCTTGATTTTGCCTCTTGGCCTGCAAAACCTAAAATACTCATTATCCAGCTCTTTACATGGGTTTGCCAACCCATGACATAGGAAAAAGAAAATATAGATGTTGAAAAATTTAGTAAGCAAGAAAAGGAAGCTCTTGTACCAATGAGGAGGTTGGTTAAAAAATATGTATCTGAAATGATGAGGCACAATGACTAACATGGAAAGAGGGCATATACTAGTAATCAAAACAGATTACAGCAAAGGCAGAAGACAACTGGGGGAAGAGGTTAATGATGGGAGCCATGCATATTATATCTTTGCTAAATCCTGAGAATACTTGAGATCCGTATTTGAAAATAATCATAAAGAAGTCTGTCGCCTGATGGCTGTCCTCTCTTTTCTCTAACCACAAAACCGCATCTTTATCAATGTGGTGGGGAGGGGGGAAAGAGGCTAACATGACAACAACCAAAAACAAGGTCACGAAAGAAGGTAAGGCTTTTATAGAAATAGTGAGCTTTGGCTCTGTAAATAGAAATACTAGTTTAAGATCAAGAATAATACTGTCTTGGCAGTGAAGACAGATGCATACTTGCACTTAGAATGGAAAGTGAGAATTACACTCCTTTAATGGAGATGATCATTTCTCCCTGTGTAACCTATCTAGACTTCTTCTCAAAAGGCCGTGAAAGAACTGAAGGCAGAGAGGAATGCTCAGTTCAATCGTCATGTAATGTCCTGATGAATAATTATGGACTATCACATAGTTTCCATCAGAGAGCTTTGGCTAGTACACAGGGTAACAAAGGTAGGGCAACACCTAAGAGAGTGAGTTTAAGCCCAATCATCTTGACTGTGGTATGCGGCCTTGTGCTTTGCAGACATGTGCTATCTAGTCAGAAATGCTCAGTTCACTTACAAAATAAGCCCAGATTATCTGTCACCAGGGATATCATAAGAGGACGATTACACAATATCAGAGTCAGAAGAAATCTTGGAGATTGTAGTGTTCATATCCCTGATTCTACAAGTGCCGCAGAGTGTTAAAGGGGACTTAAAAATAAAAATACTTATTTTCCAAAAATCAAACAAATATTAAAAAGTAGATTAATGCAACATACACATGTTCATAATATCCATTATTAATAAATATTAACATTTTATCATTGTTTTCTATTTTTTTTTAAAAAAGTAGAACATTACAGATAAACCAATTCCTTACCATCTCTCTCTTCCCCTCTAAAGAGACTTAGACACTCTTATATATGGGTGTGTTTTTTATTCATAGTATAATAAAACCATTATTTCTTCAATATGTCAAGACTTTATGTCTTCTTTAAAATTTCATTGCTTTGAAGCTGCTTAAATTCTGAAACTTGGCTGCTTTTTACTTCATATTGTATTTTCAGTATATATTTCATGTTAATATCTATAGATATAGTTAAATTTAAGTGCATTTGATTGTTCTATTTTATGACTATACTAGAACTCACTCATCCACTTCCTAATAATGAAAATTTTTTTACAACTGTTCAACTATTACAAATAATATTATGATACAGTCTTGCACATGCCTCTCACACATGTGCAGTTTTCCTAGGAACAAGCAGTGTCCGAACATCCCTTTGCTCCCAATCCTAACCAGAACTGGGTTTGCATCAGACTTCTTGATCTTGCCACTTGTAAAATACTATTTCATTTTGCTGTTGTAAATTGATGATTTCCTCATTAGTATAAATCACAATGCACCTTAATAATGAATGTAACCTTTTTGTCTACCTTTTTTAGCCATTTATATCATTAAACTGCATTTTCCTAATGAGTGGTTTTTCTATTGATTTGTAGGAACATTTATATACTACGGATAATAATCCTTTATAATTATATATATATATATATATATATATATGTGTGTGTGTGTGTGTGTGTGTATACACACACACACACACATGTATCCACACACACACACACAAAAAAAAAAAACACCACTTTCCCAGGGTATTGTTCTTTACCCTCATTTATAGTTTCATTTTCCACTCTCAGAGATTTTTGACTGAGATAGAATCAAACAGTAATTTTCCTTTAGAGTTGTTTCTCAGTTGCTACCTAAAAAATCTTCTCCTTTACCAAGGTTATTCAGACATCTGAAAATCAGTTCTACTAACAGTTTTCAAATTTGACTTATACATACAGGCCTTTAATATAACTGGAGCTTATTTTTCCATAAAGAATCACTTTTAATTTTTACATGAAAAGCCAATCATCCTTGCACATTTATTTACTGCAATGCCCACACTACCCTCATTGTTTTGTGAGGAAATCTCCATTACACCCCAAGTCCTCATATACAGCTGGGTCTCAGTCTTAGCTCTTTTCTCTGTTACTTTGACTTAGTTGTCTACATCTATAAAAATGCTATGCTATTTTAATTAATGTATCTTTAAAACATATCTCAATACTTAGTAGGGCAAATATTCTCTCCCTACTTGTCCAAATTTTCTTTGCTAACCATGGACCTTTATTTCAACATATACAAAACATACCTGTTGATATAAATTAAACTTAAAGACTAATTCAAGAAAACTGACATCTTTATTACACTGCATCTTCCCACTCTGCATTAATTGAGGTGTTCTTTTGTTCCCCTCAATGATTAATCATTTTTTCAGTAGAGATTAAGTTTGTCTTTAGATTTACTTCTAAGAACCTATTTGAATTTAATTTCTTTTTCTCACAGGGTCTGGCTAGTGAATAGTACACCAAGACTTCTGTGGACTGCCTCTGCATCAAGCAAATCTAAATCTCTTGTTGGTGCTAACAGCTTATCTCTGGATATTATAAAATAGATTTTTCAATATTAAGAGAGCATTTTGCATTCAGGAGATAAATTTCCCTTGATTGTGCTGTAACGGTGTTTTTTTAAAAAAATACATTTACTGGATTTTACTGTCTAGCATTTTATTTAAGATTTTTTAAATTAATATTAATGATTTCTACCATATCATTTTTCTTGTTATTTTTGTATTCTCCAAGTCTGCCTTTATTTATCAAGCTCATACTAGTTTCATAACGTAAACACTGTACAATGTGCAAAGATTTCTTATACACAAACCCATTAAATGCCCTTTCCTAGAGTCACATGATTGATTATTAAATGTCAAAGAATGAAACTCCAATGTTCTAACTCCAGGCTTCTTTTCAACTGGTCCAATAAGTAAACAATACATTTGATATAGGTCCACAAAGTACTGCAGGAATTAACTAATTAATTTAGTTGGGGTTAAAGGTCACTACTATGCACCTCCCCCCTGACAACAGTAAATGTTTCCATAGCCGATAAAACTGAATGGCCCATATTTTTCACTGGTCATCTCTGTTTACATAAGTGTATGACTGCAAAGGTAGCTTTGATACATAGATATCTACCTTGAAATAGATGACCTCTAAGGTCCTCTCCAGCAG